GCACCTATACTTTTTCTAGAACACTTATATTAAATAATTTTTCTAGAATACTTGTATTAAATAATTTTTCTCTAGTTCCTAATTAAAAATAGTTTCTCAGAACAAAATGATTCAAGAAAATCCAGGAGAAAAAATAAAAAATTGACCTGAAAGATTACCACCAAAAGACACAACCCGTTAAACTTTTGGCATACATCCTCATGATCTTTTTTCACATGTTCATATTTTTAAAGATTAAAGATAGTTACAATCACACTACGATATTTCATATACTCCTTTTCCATATGGATAAATATATTTTAAACCAAACTTATATTAACCACTAGTGATTCACAAACCACACTCTTCAGTGCCCTGGAGCTTCACAGGAGGTACCTCACAAGCCTGGGCCAATGTAGGCACAATAGGCAGGTCCCTAGGACCTCTCATACTTTCAGTGGCCCACAAAAATGTTGAAAGCTAAGTTTCTTTTAAAATCAGAAGAAGAATAATGACAATTTAATAATAAAACCAGCCTGGGTTATATTCATCTTGATTCTGAGATATCTTGAACTTTAGACAAATAAAAAACAGGTTTTTTCCTTCACTTTTTTTCAAAATGGCTATAACTGGTTTATTGGGAATCTATTTATTTTATACACTTTTAACTATATTTATAATATTAATACTATTTAATTGATTCCCTTGCTGTTCAAAACTAGACAATAATATCATCTGAGCTTTCCCCTTTTCAAATAATTATTCCTAAATCTTTTCCTTATTCGATGCATTATCTGATGCAAAACAAGATAAAATAATGGGACTAACAAATCTTATCCCTATCCTTTTCCACTGTGCTCTATGCTTGGTGGAGAATGACCTATATGGACTATATCCAATAAAACACAGCCAAATAAGAGGCACTAGCAGAGACAAGAAGGAAGTAGGAGAAAAAGGTGGCTTAATTCCTCTGGATCCCTCTCCACCAGGTCACTTTATGTTGGCAATTTCCCACTATTTCAACTTCTGTAGGGCCAGTCCCTCCTATAGCTACTAGTTCCCTCTCCAAGAGCCAATTTTATTTCCTCCTGTTATGTCTTTTACATCCCTATAAGGTTATATTTTCAAGTTAGAAAAAAATTATTTGCAGTTCCTCTCACGGGAAAAATGATAGGTTGCCTAATATTTGATATCAGCTTATATACATGTTTAAGTTTTAATATGTAGTAAATTTTATTTTTTAATATATTTTTATTGATTTTTAGTGAGAGGAAGGGAGAGGAATAGAGAGACAGAAACATTTGTTGAGAGAGCAGATCGTGGATTGGCTACCTCCTGCACCCCCCTACTGGCGATCCAATCCCACAACTAGGCATGTGCCCTGACAGAATAGGACCCATGACCTTTGGTTCCTGGGTCAATGCTCAACCGCTGGGCCATACCAGTCGGGCATAGATAGTAAATTGTAAACATAATATTCACAATAACATTTCCTTCAAAATACTTTATAATAACTTTAGACTTCAGGTCTCTTTTTGACATACTTACTTAGGAGAGTGTTTTAAAGTTATCAATTCAGTTAGGGGGTTTTGTTATTAATATCTACCTAGTTTTATCACTTTGTGGCCGAAGAATAAGACTAGCCCTGTTTTTTCTTTTTGGAAATTACATAAGTCTTCTTTTGGTAAAATATATGGTCAGTTGGATACCTGAAGTTTTACTTATGAAATTAACCATACTGATATTTATTTAAACCTCTATAATCTTAAGGACTCCTCAGAATTTTAATCTCATAATTTGTGGCCCAATATTGGATTTTTTTAAAATATATTTTTATTGATTTTTCACAGAGAGGAAGAGAGAGGGATAGAGAGCTAGAAACGTCGATGAGAGAGCATCATCGACCAGCTGCCTCTTGCACACCCCCTACTGGGGATGTGCCGGCAACCAAGGTATAATACATGCCCCTGACCGGAATCGAACCCGGGACCTTTCAGTCCGCAAGCCGATGCTCTATCCACTGAGCCAAACCGGTGCCAGCCCAATATTGGATTTTTACAGCTTGATCTCAGAGCCTTCTTACAAAGCATAACTTGCCCTTTTGGACTCAGAACCCACCCACAGAGTAAGCAGCTGTACTGTTTGTTAATCATACTCCTTCCATCACTGTTAAATAATACTTCCTGTACTATAATCATGCGATGTGAAAACAGCCTTTTGTCCTAAGGCTTGGGCTGAAACTAGGATGTTGACAAATGCTTAATCATATATCACCTTTTGTTCTCATCTCAAACCCGACATACTTGGCCACTGAGTCAGCCAACTGTTAAAAGTACAGTTGCCCCCACCAATCAGAAAACAAATAATGTAAGTTTACAGTCTCATTTCCCCTAAGTAATCCATCTCTTTTATTGTCCGTTCCTTACAATTTTTGCTTTATAAACCTTGCTTTACCCAATCCATTTTGGAACATCTCTTTGGTTCTTACTAAAGGCTATATTTCCTGGTTTGCAAATCATTATGTGAATAAACTCTCTTTTAATTTTTTAGAAAGTTTCTTCCCAACTTCTGTTTACATTTTATATGTTTTTTGTTTACATAATCTGTCAATGATTAAGAGAGAATTTTAAATTTTTCTCTAATATATGGGAACATTTTCCCTTGAGGTGCTTTTTACCAGGCCAGCAAGGAATGGCAGTTGGGGGGGACCAGGTCAGCAGGGGATAGCAGTTGGAGGGACCAGGCCTGCAGGGGAGAGCAGTTGGAGGGACCAGGCCTGCAGGGGAGAGCAGTTGGGGGGGATCAAGCCTGCAGGGAAGGGAAGTTGTGGGAGATCAGGCCAGCAGAGGAGGGCAGTTGTGGGAGACCAGGCCAGCAGGGGAGGGCAGTTGTGGGAGACCAGGCCAGCAGGGGAGGGCAATTGGGGAAGACTAGGCAGGGGAAGGCAATTGGGGGGGAAGGGGCAGGCCTACAGGGGAGGGCAGTTGGGGGGGACCCAGCCTGCAGGGGAGGGCAGTTGGGGGAACCAGGCCAGCAAGGGAGGGCAGTTGGGGGAGACCAGGCTTGCAGGGGAAGACAGTTGGGAGCTGCAGTCCTGGATTGTGAGAGGCATGTCCAACCACTCGTTTAGGCCCATTTAGGCCTGGTCCCCGGACCTAAACGGACAGTCAGACATCCCTCTTGGGGTCCCAGATTGGAGAGGGTGCAGGCTGGGCTGAGGGACACCCTTGCCCCCCGCCCCCCTGCACCATGCATGAATTTTGTGTACAGGCCTCTAATATCTTAATAATGTAAAAATTAAATTAAAAAAAACTATGACAAATGTTCATTAATGATTTTATGTCTCATAAATGAAAAGTGATAATTTTTGTCTTATTTTGAGTCTCTTTGCTACAGGTATGTTTCCTGAATATTATCATAATGGTTTGTGGCCTATTACTGATGTATTTATTAGGTTAATATGTTGTCTCCCCCCATTAAAATGTAAATTCTGTAAAGAACAAGTCTTTATCTAACTCACTGAGATAGTCTAAGTGCCTAAAACAAAGTCTAGCACATAGTGCTCAACAAATATTTGATGAGTGAATGAAGTATGGGTCATACCATTTTAAATTGCACTACAGCACTGTTGCATGACATTCTTTCCTCTTATTGTTCCTTTTTTCATCAGTTTCTTATTTTACCTCACGGTTGAATATTTTTTCTTTTCCCCTGAATCTATATCTTTCACAATTAGCCAGAGCAAACACTAAACTTACTTCCCTGTCCAACAGAAAATATTTTACAAACATGACTTTTCTTGTGAATGTAATTACACTTTTATTAAGGATAGTTTTTTCATAAGTGCTATTCTAATTCTTCCATAACTATTTTTAAGCCTAGTATTTTCTCAAAAAAAAATTCTGTAGTAAATCCTGCTTGAGTGTTTCTCCTTTATATCAGGATGTGATTAGAATTATAATCTCACATCTAAAGTGCTGGCTAACAGAAGTTTTATTACTTTTTCAGTGCCCCAGGAGCTTGAGGAAAATAGAAAAGGGAGTGAATCCTTAGGGCTATTGATATTCTCATATGAAACCTTCTTCTGTGTTTGTTAAAGATGAACATCTTTCATATTTAATTTTTTCTTTGACTCAGCTTCTAATCCACACATGCACTGTGGTCATGTCCAGTTCTCAGCTTAGCACAACTGCCTACTAAAGTAGGATGGAACTTTGTTGCCTTATAAGAACTCTGCATCAAAAAGAAGCCCAACAACTCAATGGTTCTTGTTCACCCTTAGACTCTCAATGGTAATTACTTTTGAACCTTGATAAAGGAAGGTGTTCTAAGATCACAGGCTCTTGACTCAGACTTTTGATTTCAAATCCCAGCTTCACCACTTCTTTAGCTGTGTGACCTGTTTGTTTCCTCATCCACAGAGATAACGAAGTACTTACATCTCATTAGGTTGTTGCACATTAACTGATTAATACCTTTTAAGTGCCTAGAATAGTGTCTGATACAAAAAAAGAGTTCAATAAATGTTAACACTTCTTTCTCCTTCTATTTGTCTTGCCTCTCATCTTTATGAATAAAATTGGAAATGTTAGGATATGTCAAGATTTCTTCTATTTATAGTGACAGCGCAGTGCTTTCTCATGAGGTTTGTAAATAAATGTTTCATATAGTCCTTCAATCTATATTCTAACCTGTACTGAATCGAGCAGAATCCTTTCCCTAACTTGTAATTCAGATGTAAATTTTTCCATGTTCTTATATTTTTTTGGTCTGTCAATTGCTTTAAAGAAGAGTGTAGCTACATACCTGTGCTTAAATATTTCTTGATGAAAGCTCTGTGGAATTATTTATTTAGTTAAAAAACAGACTTCTCATTGGTGTATCAAGTAATTGATTTCAGGGGAGCCAGGAATAATTTTTCCTGTTTTTCAACATAGACATAAGTATATCCCAGAGTTTAAGAAATGCTAATCTACAATTCCACCTTATAAAGAATAAGAAGAAAGAACTCAATTACTTACGATGCTCCTGAATTCATAATGCAGCTCTTGGCTCCACAAACACAATTTCTCCCATCATCATGATTCATTCCAAGGTTATGACCCAACTCATGAGCAACAATAGATGCAAATGTCTCCACTGTGATTTGCCCAAACTGTCCAAACATAAGAAGGTATTACATAGGTTTCTGAGCAATAGGATATGTTTTGTTTCTGAAATTATTTTTTCACAAAAGGAAACTTACCATAATAATGTTAATAGTCTATATGATAAAACAAGTATCCAACATCAATTCTTATATATTTCAGCCTAGTAAGAAATACGTGTGACTCAACACACTGATGAAGTAGACCCTTTAAGCAACAGATCAAATACTTTAGCACCTATGGATTATTCATGGTCGTCTACAGGAAAACGAGTTCATGATTCTAATTTAACTTTCTGAAGTCTCTATTTCCTCATCCATAAAGTGAGGAGCTAATAAATATTAGGATACTTAATCCAGGCTCTAGAGAAACAACTCATCTATCACTTCTACATTGTCCCTCATAATACCCAAAATATAGTTTTAAGGATGACGGAAGGAAGTATAGAGTCAAGAAATGCTTGACACTCTCTTAATGCAGATGGCCAAAGGTGAATATCAAGAACAAAAATGTACCACGTTGATCCCGCCTGCATGGCTCCTTGAACACACTGTTCCCACAAATGCCATTCCTGCAGTCCCACCAAAACCTTTCTTCCTAAATAAAAAGAAAAGGTGAAAGTTATAACAAGAACATTTTAAAGTCAGAATAGAATAAAGCCTTCTCTCTTTTATTATCAGAGAATAAGATTAATATTACAAATTTGTTTTTTAGAAAAATAAAGATACCAAACCAAAATTTTTCTATCTTCTAATGAAAAACCTCCCTAAAATGCATTAGATTTATTTATGCAAAAATTCTAATGACAGACAGGGAACAAACTCAATGAACATATGCACACAGGAGGCTGCAAGGCAGGAAGCACAGGGAACAGTGAGGTCACAGTGGCCTCCATGTGGTTCATCACTTGTATCCCAGGACCTGTTCCATCTGCCTGGAATTCTCCTCATCCATTTTTACCCCTAGTTCACTCCATCACCTCCTTCAGTTCTTTACTCAAATTATCTTCTCACTGAGACCTTATTTTGCCATATTATCTAAATTTCAACTTTACTCCTCCAACATTTTTATTTCTCCACCTTACAATTTTTTATTTATCTAGTGCCCCAGTGCACAGATTTATGCACACTAAAATGAAATTAATTAGAAGGTGGCCAGCGGGACAGGACTGGGCAAGACAGACGAGCTGGACATACCCTGGAGCCAACCCCATGGGGTCCCTCTCCAGCAGGCCACACCTGGGGCAGTGCTAAGCTCGAAGGGTATCTGCGGAGTGAGCAAGGTCCCTCCAGCAGATGGGGTTCCTTGGCCTAGCCTGCAGAGATCAGGCTGAAACTCTCTCTCTGACATCCCCTGAGGGGTCCTGGATTGCAAGAAGGTGCTTCTCGGGTGATGAACCCCAGAATCGTGCTCCCTCCTCTCTGGTTCTGGGGTATATCACTTGAGAATCGCTGCTGCCAAGCCACCACAGCTAAGCAGCTCCTGCATTGAGCATCTGTCCCTGATAGTCAGTGCACCTCATAGCTACCGGTCGAAGCTTCTGTCCCCTGGTGGTCACTGTGCATGGTAACTAGTTGTGGGACAGTCTGATAGTTGCTTAGCCTTTTATATAGAGAGATATAGGTATTATATATACTTATTTATCTCATTTATGGCAAATCACCTCCACCAGAATATGGACTCCATGAGAGCAAGAAGTTTTGTCTGTTATGTTTACTGCTCTACCCCAGTGCCTATGGTATACACCTAATGCATACTTTTTAAATGAATAAATCCTTCTCTGGGGTATCTGACCAGCCAGGGTAAAAGGACTTGAGATATTGACATAGGGGATTTCCAAGAAAAATTTTCAGCCAGATCACCACATAATGAACTCCAAAGTCTCCAAGCCCCCACTCATGTACTTAATGCTTCATAAAGGCTTTCAGTACCTCATTTTAACCACAAACAAAACACCAGAGATCATGAGACACTGGAAAATACCTCTAACACAACAGATGGAGGCCAAAAAGAGGAGAAAGACAGCGTGGTAGGCGTACTTGGGCAAGGCACAGGAAGTATGCTTGATGCCTGCTCCTTTTGGTCTTGTGTGAACTGGATGGCATACTCACTGGGATGAGGATACTTTGTAGGTGCAATTTTACTAAAAATTAATTAAAAAGTCAGGACCAATCTTTGTGATTACAGAACCATAAAAATCCATTTTGGCATTTTCAGTGCCTTGCTTTAAATTAACGCACATAACCAAAGAAAACAAAATAAAATCAAAAGAAGTTTCTCCTCTGGGGAAAAATATATATATATATATATATTTTTAGGTACCATCAACATTGAGGGAGGCAAAAAGTATTATATAAAATAGAACTTTTTCTTTTTTTGCAAAAAATCAGCCTATCAAGCCAGAAAACTTTTAAGGAGGATAAAATGTTTTAAATATTTTCAGTAAAGGTTTTGCTGTAAGGTTTTGGAATGTACTTGTATTAAGTGATTTATATAAGTTTACGTTTTATTAAGGTAGAAAATAAGAAAAAATTTTAAAATATATCAGTAATATTTCAAAGAGAGTAAGAAAACTATTATATCCAGGAAATAAAAACTGATTATGTAAAAAATATTCAGGGGAACAAAAAACATCTACTAAACACTAAAAATAAGATAGCCAGAAATTGAAAACTCAATAAAAAGCTTAAAAGTTAAATTTAAGACAATATCCCAAAAACGATAAAAAGACAAAGAGAAGAAAGGAAACAAAAGATAATTCCTGAAACTATAGGATATCAGTTTCAAAACTGAAATTACCCACTAAGCACACAGCACATCAGTGATAAAAGACCTACACAAAAGCCTATTGTTAAGACAATTCCAACACCTGGAAATTAAGAGAAGATCCTATAAGTTTCCAGAGAAAAAGAAATTTTAAAAAGCCATATATACAGGATCAGAAATCAGAATGATTTAATGGTTCTCAACAGTCATATTGGAAGTCAAAAGAAGATTTCATGGTTCAAATTTTATACCCATCAAAATAATAATAAGTTATTAAACAAACTACAAAGCACACCTCTAAAAGAATGAATTACTCCAGAATAATCAAAGGTCAAAATGAGATAATTTTTTAAAATATATATTTTTATTGATTTCAGAGAGGAAGGAAGAGGGATAGAAACATCAATGAGGGGAGAGAAACACTGATCAGTTGCTTTCTACAGGTCCCCTACTGGGGATCGAGCCCGCAACCCAGGTATGTGCCCTTGACCAGAATCGAATCCGGACCCTTCAGTCTGCAGTCCGATGCTCTATCTGCTGAGCCAAACTGGCTAGGGCAAGATAATTTTTTAAAAATCTGTTCTGAGACTATTAAATACATTTTCTCAGAGGCAAGATGAAACAATGTTAAGGAGCATAAGAGACTTGGTTGGAAAGTTGTAAGGAGGACATTCTGATAAAAGGGAAGTGTGTGGAATGCTGTCTGCCTTGTTTACCGAAATTCCAACTGAGGGGAGTGCTGAAGGTGGTGCCCCTACTTAGTCCTTGACCTTTCCAAACAAGCCTGTGCATATGCAGACCCCTGGTGTTTACTGGAATCCTTATGCTGAATCCCTGGAACCCCTTGCCTAGAGGACAATATAAACATGTGTCCTGCCAAGATTACTCACCCTACTGATTGTATCTAAAGATAAAAGTTCCAATAAAAGCCTAAAGAGGCAGACAACAGAGGCTGCTCTGGCTACTAAAGCCAGGGGCCCCTTAGCCCTCTCTTTGCACAATCAAACTGTGTTTGAGTAATATGTCCATCCGTCATTCAGGGGCTGCTGGTCAGCCCCAGCAAAACTAGAATACATGCCATACCAAAAGAAGAAAGGAAACTAAACCCAAGAAAGAGGAAAGACATGGATTAAGGTGACAGGAAACTGAATACAGAAGAGAGATATTATTATACTATCACTTGGTCCTATTGTATGAAATTAAGTTTTCCTTATTTAAATAAATGATCAAAAACCTTAAGAAAATATAACCTTAATAAAAGAAAACAAACAAAAATTATTATTCTGACCATCTCATTAATAGAACGTTTTAAAAATCACTTACAGACCTAGCCCTGGCCAGTGTGGCTCAGGTGGCTAAAGCATCATCTCCTAAACCAAAAGGTTGCAGGTTTAGTTCCAGTTTGGGGCACCTATGTAAGGCAACCAATCAATGTTTTCTCTCACATTGATGTTTCTTTCTCTCTTTGCTCCTCTCCTCTCCTCTCATCTCCTCTCCTCTCCTCTCGTCTCCTCTCTTCTCCTTTTCCCTCTAAAATCAATGAGCATTTCCTCAGATGACGATTTAAAAAGAAAAAATCACTTAAAGCCAAAACCTGTTTGGCTCAGTGGATAGAGCATCAGCCTAAGGACTGAAAGGTCCTGGGTTCGATTCTGGTCAAGCGCATGTACATTCGTTGCGGGCACATCCCCAGTAGGGGGGTGCGCAAGATGCAGCTGATCGATGATTCTCTCTCATTGATGTTTCTAACTCTCTATCCCTCTCTCTTCTTCTCTGTAAAAACTCAATAAAATATTTTTTTAAATCACTTACAGAATTAGCTGTGCACTGTCATGTCTCCGACGTGTTATAAGAAACTTTTCCCGCCACTGTACAAAGTTCCCCAACACATCACCAGCACCACCAATTGTGCTGATCAGGTTTCCATTTGTCCAAATCTCCAGTCCAACTAGCACAACTCGAATATTTAACATAATATACATCTAGGAAGAAAACATAAATAAAAGTATAAAAATATATTAAATAGTATCTTTTAGCTTACAACGAAGTAACATAACTACTTAAATTAAAAAGAGGACTCCTCACCCAGGCCAGGCGGCTCAGTTGATTGGAGCATCGCTCCATGCACCAGAAAGTGCTAAGTTCAATTCCCAGGAAGGGAACATACCTAGGTTTCAGGTTTGATCCCTGTCAGGACACTTACAGAAGGCAACCGAGCGAAATTTCTCTCTCACATCAATGTTTTTCCCTTCTAAAAAAATATTCCCTTCAATATAATGAGATTCTACCCTCTCAAGGGTCTCAGTTTCCTTGTCTACAAAATAAAAATAAGTTCAAAATCCTTTTTATTTTCCATTCCAAAATAGAAATTTTAAGTTTTGGATAAATTAATTCCAAAACTTCCACTAAACTAATGCAAACCTATTTATAGTCCACATTTATCTCAATTAATGGGAACATTCACACATTTCACTATAGAAACACCAATGCATTTGATTTACATTATGCTACCCCAAGATCCTGTGGGAAGTGTTATATAATACACTAGAGGCCTGGTGCATCAAATTCTGCATGGGTGGGGTTGCTAGGCCTGGCTGACAATCAGGACCGATCAGGTTCCCCATCTCCCCGCTTCCTCCTTCCCTTACCACCTGTACTCCGCCACTGCATGGTTCCCTGCCTCCCCACTTCCCCTACTCCTCCTTCCCTTGCCACCCACAGATCAAAATAACACAATTATTCAATTATGTTCTGGGACTGAGAAATGATTATGATAGCATAATTCCAATTGATTGAAAATGCAACTTACACTATCTAAGTAGTTTGCTAAACGAATCATCTCTTCTCTCACTGCAGTCTGATTTCTTCCCATCATGTCATACTGAAAAGCAAGAGAGGAAAATCATTATCACCAAAGTAATTGCAGAAAAAAATTCTATAATCTTTTACAATGTAGATAAAAATCCAAATATTCCAGCATTTCAATTTAATAAATCTAAAAGATACATTTCAGTGATAAATAGAAATAAGAGGAAACAGGTACAATGTAAAATGAATAATGAAAACACTGAAGTCTTCATTTTCTCTATATTAGTACAACTTTAAAATGAATTTTCTCCTCAATATTTTTAGTCATTTTAATGAAAAATATTTTCAAGCACTTCACAAAAGTAGAATTTGAAAATAATCAAAATAAATAAAGGAATAAAAACATTCTAAAGAATTTCCTGACTCCTTAAGCTAAAGACATTACCAATAAACCATTTCTAAACTAAATTAATGAGAGGTTAACCAATGTTCACAAGTTGAAACATTATTTGTAAATAAAATACAATAGATTAAATATCGCCCAGCCAGTGTTGCTCAGTGGTTGAGCATTGACCCATTAACCAGATCATGGTTCAATTCCCAATCTGGGCATATGCCAAGATTGCAGGCTCAGTCCCCAGAGAGGGGCATGCAGGAGGCAGCTAATCAATGATTCTTTCTCATCATTGATGTTTCTATCTCTCCCTCTTCCTTTCCCTCTCTGAAATCAATAAAAGCATCATTTTAAATAAATAAATAAATAAATAAATCTAAATATTTTACCATTATTTTCATACAACCAACTTAATAAATAATGGGGAAAATTTTAAGAATGTATGTTTTTTGCTGTATGATAAAGGCATTAATATCAGAATATATCAGATCTTAATAGTTAGATACTTTATCATGATTCTCCTAAAAAAGGAAAATAAATTTGAATACATTTGACAAAGTTTGATTTAATCATTTTTATTTTGAACCATTATCTACCAGTATATAATATATTTAGAGAAAGTAATAAAGAAAATCATCTCATATCTTTATTTTGGTCACTGATCCAAACATTCTAGAGAAACATTTTACCCATTAGTTGGGACAACATGCATGCTTGTTCATAGTCCCTATCCTTTTTCCTTCTACCACTTGAGGGTAATGAACTTATAATGAGCAAATCTGAATATGTGTCTGTCTCTTAATAAATATGGCTGCTCTCCCAAACTATACACAATAATGGATTTTTAAAGCAATGCAACTTTTGAAACTATCTCTGTAGCTTACAAAAAAACAATTGCCAATCATATAAAGTTTCTACAAAACATCTTTTCCACACAAACAACAACGCTGGCAGCAAAAGTCAGACAAAATATTTCAAATAACCTATGTTAAATTATATGACAGCTATATCTAAATATGAAAATCCTATAAATGCTGGAATAGATCCAGTAGTTTTCTTAGTTAAGCACAATTCTTTCTTTGTATGAATACGGAAAATCCCTGGTATTATCCTGAACAGTAAAGAAAATAATAAAAGCTTAGATGAGCCACGCTCCTCTATTCCTTTCTAACACATGTCAGAAACTGGAAATTTCTATCTCTTAAAATAACGTCTAGGATAGCTGAAATTCTAGACTGCAAAGCAAATTTATTAGGCAACAAAGCAATAACTGATTAACTGCTTACAGTCCTTTGCAGCAGTCGCCAACCAGTGGTCTGAAAGGTTGGCAACCGCTGTAAGTCATCTGAGAAGATCTCAAGACTCTGACAAGCAGTACAGTTTTATTTAAGAAATTCAGTATGAGCAAATCACCCAAAGAACAGGGAAAAAAATCACTAGTAGAAAATGAAGTCGCTATATTCATCTTCTGGTAGTATTATGAATATTTAGTATCTTAAAGGGGAAAAGTCATTTTTTATTACATTTCAGAAAAATCAATACAAATATATTATATTGTGTATTTCTTTCATGTGATGCTCACTTCTCATCTGCTTTTCCTGAAAAAGAAGAAAAACTGTCACCAATCCTACCCTTTCCTTGTCTACAACAATGAACAGCTCCACATAGCGGGTTTGTGGCAGCACAGCTCTTCTTCTCTGTCAAAAACACAAAACATCATAAAGGTAAAAAAATAAGTTATAAAGCTTGATGATTTCATAGGTATTGATCCTTCCCTAATCTCTAGTCAATTATTTCATGTCTGCTCAAAACATCATATAATTATTTTACATAACACATCCAAAAAAAAAAAAAAAAAACATGTGTGAGTTGTTGTTTTTTTTTGTTTGTTTTTTTAATGACATCTGCTACCTTTACTGGATCTAAGAAGAATTCTATTTAAAGGTAATGTAAGTTACATATGTTTACAAAGAAGAATTATTGATTTTCTAACACCAAAATTACACACATACACACACACACACACACACACACACATACACATACACTTTAATGAGAAATCCCATTACTATGTTGAGAATAAAAGAATATCCAGTGCAAAAGTGAGTAGCCTTTTAAAAGTTGCCACTTTTTTAAAAAATTACTTTTCATAAGTTTGCATAAATGCATGTAAAGAATAGAATAAGCTGAAATTTTATTTTCCAATAGTCAAAGTTTAAAAGAATAGTACAGTAGTCAGAGGTGATGAAAATAATGTCATAAATTAGTATAAGTTCATGAAAATATACTAGAAGAAGCACATGCTTCTTCCATCATAGCAGTATCATTTCATAGATAAAGAACATCATTTCATAGATATTCCTAAAAACATTTCAACCTAAGAGACCCTTGTCAAGAGGAAGCCAGGGTATCCTAATGAAGACTCAAAACAGAGATAAAAGAGCCCCTTAAGTCATCTGAAATAATTAAGGTTCTAAAGCCCAACCTCTCTCTTTTTCCAACCTAGAGCTCAAGAATCACCATTCTAGTTTGTGTCAAAGATATCCAAACAAAAAATTCCACTGCTCTCTGAAAGACAGTGTAACAGATTACTATGCAGCACTGATAAAAAGGAATACAATTTCTATTTAAGATTTAAGTCTAAGTTCCTAAAACTTACTGGAGCTCTATTGTATTCAATTTGGAGGCAGAACTGCATATTGCTCATATTGTTATCCCCTAGTAACTGTCATAATGTCTGGCACATAGTTGGCAAAATCCAGCAATAATAAGTATTTGTTTAATGCATAAATACGTGATATTTTAAAACTTTAGTCTGTGTCCATTGATAGCCAAATGGATAAAGATATGGAATATTACTCGGCCACATTGTATGTATATACATAAAATGGAATATTACTCGGCCATGAAAAGAATGAAATCTTGCCATTTGCTATGTATATACATACAATAGAATATTACTCAGCCATGAAAAGAAAAGAAAGAAATCTTGCCATTTGCTACAACATGAATGGACCTATAAGGCATTATGCTAAATAAAATAAGTCAAAGACAAACACTATATGATTTCATTTAGTTGTGGAATCTAAAAATCAAAAAATATGAACAAACAATATGGAAACCAAATCACAGACACAGACAACAAATTGATAATTGCCAGATGAGGGGATAGCGGAAGAATGGGTGAAAAAAGTCGAAGGGATTAAGAAGTATAAATTGCCCGGCCAGTGAGGTTCAGTGGCTGAGCACTGACCTATGAACCAGGAGGTCACAGTTTGATTCCCCATCGGGGCATATTACCAGGGTTTCAGGTTCAATCCTCAGTAGAGGTGTGCAGGAGGCACCTGATCAATGATCCTCTCTCATCATTGATGTTTCTATCTCTCTCTCTTTCCCTCTCCCTTCCTCTCTGAAATCAATTAAAATATATTTTTTAAAATAAGTACAAATTGGCAGTTATAAAAAATACAGCATAGAGAATATATGAATAATATTATAATAACTATGTATGGTGTTAGATGGGGATTAGGCTTATCAGGGTGATCACTTTGTAAGGCATAAAAATGTCTAATCGCTATGTTGAACACCTGAAACTAATATGGTATTATATGTCAACTATAATTGAAAATTTTTAAAAACTTAAAAAAAAATTTTTTTCAAAGCAATTATGCTTCATTTTTTATACAAAAATAACTTTTTGTATTAAGGTGCAAAACAAAAAATAACTTTAGTCTGAGCCATGAAGATATATATTATTTCCTTACTCGAAGCAGCTGAGTGATGCTGGGAGGCTCTTCCTCTTCATCCTGGGCTGTTTCTGCTTCTATATCCTTGCTGGAAACGCCACATTTCAGAGGCTCTTTGCGGATATCATCCATTCGATAAAAGATGTGCTCAAAATGAGAGCTGTTTTGCAGGGGTTCAATCCCATAACTCACGTTCTCTATATGCAGTAATCCTCTAAGTGTTGTGTTACACACACATACAATTTTTAAGAATGAAGAAAAAAATACACAGGAAAGAAATTAGAAAACCTGAATTCAAGTCCTAGTTCTTAACATGTGTCAGAAAGAGTAGCATGGTATAAAGAGAACTATAATTCTTTAGAGTCAAGCTGACCTACATTTAAAGCTAAAGGCTGTGATTTATTAGCATCACTTCCCAAATGTTAACCTTGCAGCATGATTATTGTATAATGGAAGGCAATAAGGACAGTGGCTAAAAGTGTGTGGTCTGGAGCCAGAGAACCAGAGTTTGAATGCCAAATGTTTCCTTCTAGCTGTGGGACTCTTGCAAGTTATTTAGCCTCCTCCTTTCTTTACATTCTACAAAGGGTTGTCCTGAGAACTAAATTTTTAATAAGTGCAAAATACTGAGAACATTGCCTGGCACTCTAACAGTATACAGCAACTTCTGTATAAAGAATACAGTAACTTCTACAAGGGTTATTACTTAAATGGCAATAATCATAGCCATCTTACATAGTTGGTTTGAAAAGAAAAAGTAGTATTTATTAGTTCAATCATGCAACCAACCAACCAACTAGTGGTATACTGCCAGACCCTCAATAAATGTAATTTTAATGTTATTATCATTTCACTTGACATGTGATACAATTTCTCCAAACCTCAGTTTGCTCACCTAAACATGGAGATAAGGAGCCCCTTTTCACAGTCATTATCAGACTTAAGCAAAAAAAAAATGTAAGTGAAAATTTTATAAACATAAAGTGCTACGTAAATTTAGGCATAGTATTTTATTTTAAGTGGCAAAAATTGTTTAGTAGTCTCAAAAATGAGATATTTCTCTTTAAATATCAAAATCCATCAACTGTAATATTTCCCTAAATAAACATGCCAAGAACAATATCTGAAACATAGCCCTAAAGACCTTTGACAACATTAAAATAAAACCTAATTTTGTTAAGTCCCCCAAAATTTGAAAAGAGAGATAGGTGTACAGGGTAAGAAATAGAGAGGAAAAAGAATTAATAAATAAGATTCCTTACCTGAGTCCAAAACAGTCACTAAGAGCAATGGATGAATCATAAACTCCTTCCACATAGCCCCGATAATGACAATGGTCCTAAATGATAAACACTGTATTATCTTCAAATACTGTTATTTGTGAAAAATCATAATAGAAATTACAGAACTAACAAAACTAAAAGTTGTATTTATATTACTGACATCTCATAATATCACATGATATTTTTTAGACTATTTCAGATTATCTACTACCATCCTACCTGTATACATATGTAGGGTGGTAGCAGAATTCTAAAGAAACTAAATATAAATAGCTCTAACCCAATAACCGGTAAGCCTAGAAGCAGAAAAAGACAGTATGTCATTTTTAACATCTTAACATTTTACATCAGTCAATCCAAGAAGCAATAGCAGCCAATTGACATCTAATACAGAAAAGGACCTTGTGGCAGGTTAATTATGTCAATGGAAGGGGAAAAGAGAGAGAGAGAGAGAGAGAGAGAGAGAGAGAGAGAGAGAGAGAGAGAGAGAGAGAGAGAGAGAGAGAGAGAGAGAGAGAAAAGAAAAGAAAAGCTCAGTATGGCCAAAACCGGTTTGGTTCAGTGGATAGAGCGTCGGTCTGCGGACTGAAAGGTCCCAGGTTCGATTCCGGTCAAGGGCATGTATGTTGGTTTAGGGCACATCCCCATGGGGCGTGTGCAGGAGGCAGCTGGTCGATGTATCTCTCTCATCGATGTTTTTAACTCTCTATCCCTCTCCCTTCCTCTCTGTGAAAAGTCAATAAAATATATTAAAAAAAAAAAAAAAAAAAGCTCAGTATGTAGCAAAAAGAAGAGATTTTGATCAAATTATTTGATTCTTCCTATAGATATATTGATTATATTTTATTAGTTATGCATTCAGCCATCTTTAAAAACTAAAGACCCTTTATCATTAATTTTGAGCAAGAAGTTGACCAGTGAAAAAATAAGCATATTACTTATTGATATTAGATTTTTAGTACACGCATAAAACAATCACAAAGCATTAAAAAAAAAAAAAAAAGCCAAAGGTGTGGGTAAGGACATCTGGCCCTACCAGACATTGAGACATATCACAAAGCCTTAATAATTAAAACAGCATGCTATTGGTGGTGCATTAATTGAGAGACCAACCAGTAGAACAGAATATAAAATCTCAAAATAGTTCAAAGCACATATACAACTTTTATGATAAAAGTGGCATCTCACTGTAGCAGATGTACTTTTAATAAATGTACTTTATAATGGTTAGACCTTTATAAATGATAAAATTAGATTCAAACCTCACAGCATATATAAGAGTAAACTCCAAACAGATCAAGAATCCCAATGTAATAAATGAAACCATACAAGAACTAAATGAACACATAGGTGAATTCCTCTTTAACCTAGGTGTAGAGAAAGCGTTTCTAGCTATCACTTGAAACCTATATGCAATAAAAGACTGATCATTTTTATGACATAGATAAGTTTTTTAATATTCTACATGGAAAGAAACATCAAAAAACAAGGTCAAAAGGTAATTCACAGACTGAGAGAAAATATATCAGAGATAAAGATTTAATATCCTTAACTTATTATAAAGTACTCTTACACAGTGAAGGGGAAAGATTAAAAACCCAATAAAAGGGGGTGGCCGGGGAGAGGTCAATAGGGGGGAAAGGAGACTTATGTAATACTTTAAACAATAAAAATTTTAAATTAAAAAAAAAACAAAAATAAAAAACTGGCCAAAGATATAAACAGATAATTGGTAAAGGAGGATATAAAAATGCCCTTATATTATATATACAAAAGAATTTTCAATCTCACTAATGATAAAGGAAGAGTTCATGAGTCTGTGCTGATAAAAGGGAAAACTCTTTCTTACAGTAAAAAGCATTGATGAATATAGAAGTACTGATGAAATTAGGAAATCACAACTTTAACAACTATTATTATAACAACTGATTCAGGCAAATACTAAACACTAAAATTTTGAGAAGTAACAGGATATCTGTGTAGTCTCAAAGTATCAACCCTAATATTAAAGAGATACAAACTAACTTTACAGAGGAGAAACATGGCAGAAAACTCCTTAACCAAATGATAAATGTTAACACTGTCAATAATTGGGCTACTAGCAGCATATGCTTACTGATTTGATACACTGAGAACCACTCAGAATCTATTCAGTGGTATTCCTGCCAGTAGTACATAACCTGAATCAAATCATGAGTTAACATCAAACAAAGTCAATTGGCAGGACACTCTACAAAAAGTCAGACTACAAATGTTGGACAAGGAGAGATAAGTATTTCCAGATTAAAGGAAACTAAAGAAACATGACTACTGAATGAAGCACATGAACTTTGTATTTTTCTTTCATTTTTGTATAGCTGTTGATATGAACAAGACTGACTCTATCTTTGTGACCTTGACTTCTTGTTTAAGTTTTTCATGCTGTGAATTCGGACTAACCTCACTAGTTTCAGCCAGTATACCAAAGCCTTATAGTTAATTATTATTTGTGTCTTTAAAACTTTATTATATAACCATAGAAATCCTTGGGCCAGAATGGCATGGCAACAAAGATAAATATCAAACTAGGTGCTGGCATCAATTGTAAGCAAACATCCATCATAAGCCCATCAAGAAGTATGGTTTCTGGCACATACTGCATTCTTTGTCTCTTTGTCTCATCAATCATTAGTACTTTAACTATACCATTTAAAAATTTACTGTAAACTTTTCCCTTTTCTGGTAAGGGAAACTAGCTGCACAGACTGTGGGGTTATCTTCCTTTCTATCCTATCCCTGTAAGTAACTTATTCTAGAATAATTTCAGTTATATTATGGAGTTGCCTGCCTCAATTTTAAGTCTCAAAATACTTTCTTGTTTTGGTGGCCAGTATACCTTCACTCCACCATCAGACAACTATAAAGAACATTATTGGGATAGTAGACAAGAGAAAGAGAGAAAGAGAGAAAGAGAGAAAGAGAGAAAGAGAGAAAGAGAGAAAGAGAGAGGAAGGAAGGAAGGAAGGAAGGAAGGAAGGAAGGAAGGAAGGAAGGAAGGAAGGAAGGAAGGAAGGAAGGAAGGAAGGAAGGAAGGAAGGAAGACAGAAAGGAAGGAAAGAAAGAAAGACAGAAAGGAAGGAAAGAAAGAAAGAAAGGAAAGAAAGGAAAGAAAGAAAAGGAAAGAAAGAAAGGAAAGAAAGAAAGGAAGGAAGGAAGGAAGGAAGGAAGGAAGGAAGGAAGGAAGGAAGGAAGGAAGGAAGGAAGGAAGGAAGGAAGGAAGGAAGGGAAAGGAAAGGAAAGGAAAGGAAAGGAAAGGAAAGGAAAGGAAAGGAAAGGAAAGGAAAGGAAAGGAAAGGAAAGGAAAGGAAAGGAAAAGGAAAGGAAAGGAAAGGAAAGGAAAGGAAAGGAAAGGAAAGGAAAGAAGGAAGGAAGGAAGGAAGGAAGGAAGGAAGGAAGGAAGGAAATTAGATTGCTTCAATGTTAACTTCCTAATTTTGAGAATTGTACTATGGTTACCAAAAAAAAAAAAAAAAAAAAAAACCACAAACAAAAAAAAAAAAAAAACCTTGCTTTTAGGAAATTTACATTGAGGTAATTTAAGGATAAAAATACACCATGTCTGAACCTATCTTAAAAGGTTCAGGAAAGCCTGGCTGGTGTGGCTCAGTGGTTGAATGATAAAGACACATTAACCAGGAAGTTATGATTTAATTCCCTGTCAGGGCACATGCCCAGGTTACAGGCTTGATCCCCACCCAATAGGGGGTGTGCAGGAGGCAGCCAATTAATGATTATCATCATTGATGTTTCTATCTCTCCCTCTTTCTTCCTCTCTCTGAAATCAATAAAAATATTTTTTAAACGTTTAAAATAAAGAAGAAATTGTCAAACAAATGTAGTAAAAAGTTAACATTTCAAGAATTCTGGTGAAGGTATGCGTGAATGTTTTATATTACTCAGGCAAATTCTCCTGTAAGTCTGAAACTGAGAAACAAAATTTTAAGTAGTTACACACTAAACAGCACTGTACAACTTATTCTTGTGTGGGACAATTTACAACTACTAATGTTTTTCTTCTTACTGTTCTGTAGTTATAGCTGTGATATTGCCTCCTTCTCACTAGAGGAAGAAAATAGCTTTTTTTTTTTTTTAATTACGATGAGGTAACATTTATAAGATACTAATACAGTAACTGATAGCACTCAGAAATTAAATGTTTTTAGTTTCAACTACAATAATAGAAGTTCTCTTATTCAGCAGTTGGTCATTAAATCTACCAACTTAATGGTATATTTTTTAATAACTTGCTTTTATTAAATCTTTTCAAAGCGCCTAATTTACTTTTTAATAAAAACAACAAACCATATTTTGTAAGTGTAAAAAACATCTAATTAAATTTCATGGTGAGAGTAAAGGTTCAATTAGCATAAACAGATTTGGAAACTCTAAGCAAAAAATTCAACTACTGGGAACTATCAGAGAAGAGCCTACTAGCCACAAGAATTCAGTAAGCCTTGGGCAGCCGATATATCTTTAGAGGACACAAAGAGCATCAATTAGTTGGGAGAATTAATTAAAAGGCTTTCCTAGAGGATAGAACCAAGATGTCAGCATAGGTAATCACCTATACTTGCTGCCTCTCACAGCCACATCAAAACCACAACTAAACAGCAGAACAATTGCCACCCAGAACTGCAGGAAAGCTGGCTGAGTGGAAATCCACAACTAGAGAGGTAAAGAAAGCGTAGTGAGGCTGGTAAGAGATGCAGAAGTGGAGAAAGTGCTGGCACCTGGATGTGCTGCTCCTTTAATCGGGAGGGAGATATAAGCTCCCACTTGCTCTGAACTCCTGTTTTGAGCAAGACTCTGGCAGACCCAGGGAAAAACTAGACTGTCTGGCATCAGGACAGGAACGCAAGGGCAGCTTACTCTTAGAGGTGCTCGCAGCAATCATTGTTCCTGCACAGGAGCACTGGACGCAAAGAACCTGGGACTTCTCTGGTTCAGGGCAGCCATTGTTGTTTGCTCCACCCTGGTGATTCTTAGAGACCCTGCCCGACCCAATTTACAGTCCCACCCAAGCTGTGTGCATTGGCTTTTGCATATGAATGGTGTGTCCTTTCACCTAAAACAAACTGCAGCTGGGTCAGAGAGCCCCAGAGATTCCAAAAAAAGGCCCACTACCTGGCAGCAGCAGAGGCCTTGCTTCACAGCTGGGCCTTGTCTGGGCACTTCCAAACCCCATACAAAGATGAGGAATCTGCAGATGTCTCTGTGGCTCCTGCTGGGCAGCCCCAGACAGTGGCTGACCTTGCATCTCCTTGGAGATCCAAGAGCCAGTGTACCCAGTGGTCAGAGTGAGACCATGCCAAATTACAAATCTTCACATCCATAAGAGACACACTCAATGGGCAGACTTAGTGAGCACCAAAGCCCTACTGAAGCAAGTCCTGCTCCATAAGGGTGTCTCCTGCACAACAGTTCTTCCAGTGTAGGCACAGCTGGTCATCACAGCCAATTGGCCTGGAGATCAATTCCTCCCAGTGATAACAACAGCAACCAAGAGTTAACTATAAAAAGACTATGCAAACAGCCTACAAAGGGGTGTACCAAGAGCATCCACCTCAGGTATGTGGGGACGCTGAGCCACTGGGCCTATAGGACACCTACCACAGAAGGCCACTCTATCAACTCAAGGAGATTTAGCAGCTACCCAGTACATAGAAACAAACACGGGAAGCAGCCAAAAATACGGAGACAAAGAAACAAGTCAAAAATGAAAGAAATGGATAAAAGCAAACTACTGAATATAGAGTTTAAAACCAAGGTTATAAGTTTACTCAAGAATCTTCTAGAAACCTCTAAGAAACTTAGTGAGACCCTCAAGGATATGTAAAGGGATTAATTAGAAATTAAGCATACACTAACTGAAATTAAGAATAATATACAGAGATTCAACAGTAGACTAAAGGATCCCAAGAATCAAGTCAAAGATTTGAAATTTAAAGATGCAAAAAACACCCAACCATAAAAAAAAGAAAAAGAAAAAAACATCCAAAAATATGAAGATAGTATAAGGAGCCAGTGGGACAACTTTAAGCGAACCAACATCCAAATTATGGGGTGCCAGAGAAGAGAGAGAGCAAGATATTGAAAACCTATTTGAAGAAATGACAGAAAACTCCCCCTACCTGATAAAAGAAATAGACTTACAAGTCCTATAAGTGCAGAGAACCCCAAACAAAAAGAATCTAAAGAGTACCACACCAAGACACATCATAATTAAAATGCCAAGGGCAAAAGACAAAGAGAGAATCTTAAAAGCAGCAAGAGAAAAAGTTACCTATACGGGAGTACCCATATGACTGTCAATTGATTTCTCAATAGAAACTATACAGGCCAGAAAAGAGTGGCAAGAAATATACAAAATGATGAATAGCAAGAACCTACACCAAGATTGCTCTACCCAGCAAATCTATCATTCAGAATTGAAGGTCAGATAAAGAGCTTCACAGACAAGAAAAAACTGAAGGAGTTCATCAACACCAAACCAGTATTATATGAAATGGTTAAGGGTATTCTCTAAGAAGAGGAAGAAAAGGGTAAAGATAAAAATTGTGAACAACAAAGTGACAACAAATACATATCTATCAATAAGTGAATCTAAAAATCAAGTTAAAAAATCTGATGAACAGAATAAACTGGTGAATGTAATTAGGGGAATAGAAAGGGAGTGGACTGACAATTATCAGGGGCAAGGGGGTATGAAGGGTGTGGGAAGAGATTGGACAAAAATCTTATACCTATGAAAGAGGACAATGGGGGTGGGAGGTAAGGACATGGGGTAAGGTGGGAACCAAGTGGAGGGGAGGTGTTGGGGGGAAAAAGAGGAACAACTGTAATAACTTGAATAATAAAGATTTATTCAAAAAATAAATAAATATTAATAAAAGGCTTTCCTAATGCATTTGCAAGGGACTCTAAAGTTCTAAGATATAGTAATTTGGAGTTTTATTTCACACAGCAATCCATATAAACTGGTGATTAAAACTTTCTTTGTGAAAAATTGCCTTGTGGAAGACATGATGATGAAAACCACAAAAGCTTTACAAATTACTTTAATATTAAATAACAGAATCATAAAGGAAAGGATTTAAATTTCTCAGTGTAAATTAATTGCATTTTATGGACAAAAGTATCTATCATTATGATATTTGCCAATCTAGCCATAATGGAAAAAAAAAAAAAGTACTAAAGTATTAATTGGTGTCTGAAATCTGTCACGCTTTCATCTGTCTAAACAATCTATATATATAAAAGCTTAAGTGACCATTAAGATTAGTGGCTATGATGTGCACTGACCACCAGGGGGCAGATGCTCAATGCAGGAGCTTCCCCCTGGTGGTCAGTGCATTCCTGAAGCAGAAGCACTGTTCAGCCAGAAGCTGGGCTCACAGCTGGCAAGAGTAGCTGTGGCAGCAGGAGCTTCTCCTGCCTCCACAGTAGTGCTATGGAGCAGCAGCAGGCACAACAGGGCCAGATTGAGCAGGAGCAGCGTAGCACCCTTGCCAGGATTCTTGTCCCAGCATTACAAAGAGGTGCAGCAATCTGGAGAAAGGAGCTGCATGTAGATTCAATAAAAAGTCCAAAGATTAAAGATAGTTTTGAAAGGCATTGGGAGTCAGAAGAGCTTCAGCTAAAGGAGCTAAAGACTATCCCTTGACACGGGATCCCATGCTTTTTATTAACACAATTTGTCCTAAGGCAAGGTGGAGATAATATACTTCAAAGGGTAGGGCTACAAGGGTAGGGTTTACAGAAGCATTGTCAGATTAGGGACTAGCCTACATCAAATGTTTGGCCAACAGGAGGCAATAACATGCAGATTAAGATACCCTGAGCTGTCTGGTAGCAAGCAATCAGGTTTGGTGCAAGTGCTGTTTAGCCCTTCCAACAGGTGATCACATTATGTGACTCAGCCCTTGTTGAGTCTAAGTTTCATCAACCTTTTGATTCAACTCTTATAATTATGACATGATGGAATTGGATCCTGGCACACCTGGGCTCCTGCTGCTCCCGGATCCCTGCCACTTCACTCACTACTACATCCCTTAAAGGATGTCAGATTGCTGGTTTTGCCTGTGGGGATCGGGTGAAACTGGCAGTCTGACATCCCCGGGGGTGGGGTGAGGGAGGGTGGTCCTGGATTAGGAGAGGGCCCAGGCCAGGCTGAGGGACCCCAGTGGTGCATGAATCTGTGCACCAAGCCTCTAGTATTCAATCACCAAGAAAAAAATGAAAAACTCCATCTGTTTTAGTTTGTATTTTTTCAAAACACCCAGGAAAGCACTTTAAGATAACATTGTTACATAAATTTCTAACTGAAATCTATTTTTAGCAGTTTTAAGTATATATACTTTCAATAATAACAGAGTAATATTTATTAAGTTAAAAAATGTCAAAAATGACTTGTTCTAAGAATCTCACAAATATTAACTCAGTAAAGCCTCCTAATAACAATTATGAAGTTGTAATTATTATTCCCATTTTTTAAGGTGAGGATACTGAAGCACAAAAATGTCAAAGTAACTTGACCAGCAAATAAATGATAGAGCCAAGATTCAAATCCAAAGAAATCTCTAAAAAAAAAAAAAGCCTTTTGAGATTACTAGTTTTGTCAAATGGCATAAATTATGTGGTCTTTGGCCTCATGACATAGAAATCTTTGGATGGATGATTGGATACATGAATGGATAGATAATTTCTAATCTGATTTATGCTATCAAATTTAAGCTCCTCTACTAATTTGCTACTAAACAATGATAAACAGAACACTAAGATTAAAAAAAAAAAATCAGAAAAGGATAGGGCTAAATCAGCATCTCCTTTTTTTAAAGCACTCATTAATTAAAAATAATTTAATTAATTAAAGACTAATTACTCTAAAATAAAGTGTTTGCCTTCTATTTATCTGAAGAGTGCTGAAAAAATGCATAACTAACAAAAAAAAATTCAAGCTAGCAAAATGTTACAAAGCTCGGGGGTGGGGGGGAATAATACATGTTTAATGAGAACAAAGACTTCTTGTGAAAACTATTGCAAAAGAAAAAAAGTATACAATACCTAACTGCCAAAAAGCATTGTAAAACATGCTCCCCAAATAAAACTAGCAATGTTTATGCTCTACTTAAGTAACACATAAAACCAAATCAACATCTGCCAATTTTTTTTAAGTATTCCTGGCCAGTTCTGTCCTTAGAAACACTCTGTTCTCTGATGTAAAAGGGATCACACCTCTTTAGGAAAGAATTGTTTCAGTGAAAAACTAAAACATATAACAACAGCAAATCAGTGTTTGTTCTTACTATTAATGGCAAATCAAACCAAAATTACTAATGTTTAATAAAAGAGTAAGATGTGCTTGGAGGTGGTAAATTTCAGCAAAAAAAAAAAAAAAAAAAAAAAAAAAAAAAATATATATATATATATATATATATATATATATATATATATATATATATATATTTCAAACTATATCAAACTTTCCCCTTCCATAATCGGTAAGAATTATCATTAGTAGAAGGTTATTCTTCTGATTTTTAAAAACAAACACCTTGACTAGAGTACCTGGAGAGAGGTAAGGTCCAATTTACTCTCGCTATATAAATGTACCCACTACCCCACCACTTTCAGGAAAGCATGTATTATAGGGTCAAAGGTGACCCTTTAAGTTATGAGATGTAACAGTCCTCATATTTAAACAAAAGTCCTTTTAAAATTATAACTGTTTGAAATTCTGCTACAGGATCAAGAATAAAATATATTACCTGTATATCAGGATGGTCAGAGATCAGAGCCCCTTCCTTGTTATAGGTGTAAACTACAAAATCTTTGGGCACAAGGTCCCTGGAAGAGGAATAAAACCATTTAAAATCATTTATGTATTTGCAGCTAAGAACACAACTCATTCGACATTATTTATAGAAGAGATGATTTTTTATTTTTATTTAAAGAAGGAGCTGCCATAAAACTAAAATTGACTTGCATCTGAAACCATGTGCATCACTTCCTCTTAGAGAATATTAAGCTGCAAGTTTGTTCTAATGATCATAAAATGCTAGTTACAAAGTAATAATAATAACACAAATGTCCTTAAATTTTTTGATACATCTCACAAGAAAAGTGTAAATTAGGTTATATAGTACATCTAGAAGGAAAATAAGTGCTTTTACTCTTTTCTGAAAGTCCTTTATAAACACTCATTGTCTTCACCTCCTAAGAAGCAAAATGTGTCTGTTGTTGGAAGAAACAAGTATTTCTGATTCCTGAAGCTTCCCTGCATGTGTTATAGTAATAGTAATAAGGATAAATACAATACTGAATAAGTATTAAAGTGTGGAATTGAAGTATGATATCTGAAAGTATGGAATGGAATGTAAACAAACTGATAAGTACTCCTTGTGTGACCTATATGTAGGAAATAGATAAAGTGATCTGTACCCCATATATAAGACCAGATAGCAAGGCTCCTGGGACCTGCTGATAAGACACACTGAAGACACATCTGAGCACTGAAGACACATAAAAAGAGCAAGCTCCACAGCAGATCAGAGATGTTCCTTCTGCTCCTCCACAGGGGGTTGCTCTCCACTTCCCCTGCCTACACCAGTCAAAGCTCTGACCGAACCCTGAGCAGCGGACTGTGAGCCGTCATGAAAGGCCTCAACTCAAGCCAAGCTGCAGCTGCAAAGTCCTCCGTGAACCGTGTGTGTGTGTGTGTGTGTGTGTGTGTGTGTGTGTGTGTGTCAGTGCTGATCCCCGGGTGGCCTGCCTATGATTCTGGAACCCACCAGGACTCTGGTAAATAAACCGTGAGTGATTCGTGCATTGCATGTTTGTCTCCTGTGTAATTTATGCTCGGTGAAATTATTAATTAAGTACCTAGGGTCATACGTGTCAGATTTCTGGCTGAAGCACCTTAGGTCGCCTGTGCATACGTCCCTTATGGAATTATTGGGACAATTGGCGTAGTTGGCTGTATTCGGTAGTGTAAACCACATGTGGAAAGAGAGGGTTCTCTTTGCAAAGAAAAATATTCAGAGATGCTTGATAAAGATGACAAGGCAGCCCTAACCGGTTTGGCTCAGTAGATGGGAGCGTCAGCCTGCAGACTGAAGGGTCCCAGGTTCGATTCCAGTCAAGGGCATGTACCTTGGTTGAGGGTACATCCCCAGTAGGGGGTGTGCAAGAGGCAGCTAATCTATGTTTTTCTCTCATTGATGTTTCTAACTCTCTATCCCTCTCCCTTTCTGGAAAAAAAAAAAAAAAAAAAAAAAAAAAAAAAAAAAGTCAATGAAATATATTTTTTTAAAATAAAGATGATAAGTAGACTTGTATTTGGGATTACCATGATAGATACAAGGACCACTGATAGTAGGCAAGAAGGAATTTATGGCTAAGGAGCTGAATGAGGGTCAGTATAAAGAAAATTACTAAGAGAAAACATCAAAGGGTAAGGAAGGCTCTGGTTAACCTAGCCTAACAGATTCTTACTGTAGTCTGAGCAGGTTGATCAGGTATCATGTGAGGTGGTGGAGGGAGGATAAAGAACCTGTTCAGACATTCAGTGTGATCAGTTAACAAGGGAAAATGGGAATTTTGCTAAAACTGGATTTCATAAGAAAGGGCCTAGGAGAAAGTTCAGAAGCCTGACTAAAGTTTGGTCAAGCAAAGACTGTCATTTGCAACAGAATTGGAGTAGCTGTTATCAACCTCTTCTTATCTCCACCATTTAGGGGCCAGTCAGGAATGCAAAGTGCAAGCTAGTGATTTATAAAGCACCATTCTAAACTCCCCTGGAGGCATCCAGGGCCTGCTTATCTATGTTGTTTAGAGATAGTTTAACCTTTACAGCCTGACTTGAACTATGTGACCAGAGTAGTATAAAAGATCCTACTTGACCCTTATTTTGTGAGAATTAAATAAATAATACACTTAAAAGTACCTGGACACAAAAAAAAAAAAAAAATTAAAAATAAATAAAATAAAAGTACCTGGACATAGTAAATGTCCAATAAATGTTAATGTCTATCAACTATAGTAGAAGGCTTCAGAAAGCTTCTCTGTCTGAAAATATCTGTTACTACTTAAAATTCTGTCAGGGAGACTCAGACCTTTTGACTCAGCCTCTTCTTCTAAGACAAAAAGTGTTACTCAAAACTTGCAGATGCATATAAATCATCTGGAAAACTGGTTAAAACAGATTGCAATGGCACCTCCAAAAATTCTGATTCATTCTAATATTTGACCTCAGAATTTACATTTCTAATATACTCCCAGGGCTGCTGCTGGTTCCAAGACAACACTCCAAGCAGCTCTTCCTTAGACAGAAACACTTCACATTCCCACTCACAAATTAGTACAAATGTGTGTACTAGGCGGCTTTTCCTGGGATCCCTCACTAAAGATATTGGAAGTTTTACCAAATAAGAAAAGGAAAGGGGACAAGACAGGCCACGGGAAAGTGGACGGCTCAACACAGTAAGAAAGCTGGCATTTCAAAAGGCAGCTGAAGAAGACAGATAATCAAAGTGGGATCAGGTAAAAACATGCCAAAATAAGGAGAAAAGGTTAAAATGGGGAGGTGAGAGAATACTGTTATGGACTGAATGTTTGTACCCCTACTTCTCAAAACTCCCAGTGTGGCTGTGTTTGGAGATGAGGTCAAACACTAGGAGGTAATATAGTAAAATGAGGTCATAAGTATGAAGCCAACAGGATTAGTATCTTTATAAGAAGAAATACCAGAGAGCCTGCGCCTTCCCATACCCCCACCCCCACATACACACACACTAAGGAGAGGCCACAGAGCACATAGAGAAGTTGTCCATTTGCAACCTTCATTGAGGGCCCCCACCAACCGCCAACCCTGCTGGCACCTTGATCTTGGACTTCCAGTCCAGGAACTGTGGCAGATAAATGTTTGTGTTAAGTCTGTGGTATTTTGTTATGGCAGCTCTAGCAGACTGATACAACTACTAAAGACTTCTTTAGCCCTACTCAGTTATTCCTTTGTTTGATAACAACTAAAAAGTCCTCTTCTTAAATACAACTTTCTCTTACTTTTGACTTTATTTTCCCTTATTCTAATGTCAATGGAAATATAAAATAGTATGATTTTTTTTCAAACTTCTACTTTTATTATTCTGTTTTTATCAATCCACTAAACAACATCTAACAGAAAAGAAACCTACATACTATTTTTTTTTAAAATTACTGAAAAGCCAAAACAAATAAATTTCTTACTTGTTCCTTTCCAAGTGAATAATATGCTCTTTTCCTTCAAATTGAATGACATAAGATACCTAAAGGCACAAAGATGAAAACAAAAATAATAAAACACCATCTTATAAATTACTTTCAAAAACAGGTACTTATAAGACACTGGAAACTTCATCCTCAATAAAAATAATTGACTGAAATTATTTTACAGAAAAACCTTATGCCTGCTCAAATAATAAAAAATCATCTGACCAGCCGAAACCGGTTTGGCTCAGTGGAAGAGCGTCGGACTGCTGACTGAAAAGGTCCCGGGTTCGATTCCGGTCAAGGGCATGTGCATTGGTTGCCGGCACATCCCCGGTAGGGGGTGTGCAAGAGGCAGCTGGTAGGTGTTTCTCTCTCATCGACGTTTCTAGCTCTCTATCTCTCTCCTTTCCTCTCTGTAAAAAATCAATAAAATATATATTTTTTTTTAAATCATCTGACCATACCTGCCTTCTTGATCACAAGCTACCTGTGCAGTACTAATATGAAGATAAAACTTACTTTTGAGTAAACATTCCCAATATGAAATATATGCATTTAACATACTACTATTCTCTGGTGCCTGTGAAAACACAATATGAGAAATATTTTACCTCTCACAAACTTAAGAGAGAGGTTACTTATTATTATTTCAACAAGATCACTGTAACCATCATCAGTCAGTTCAGGGTTAGAAATCTATGTAATCAACTTCCTATCCTGGTTCAAAAATGAATTTAACTATTTCATTTATTTAACTGTTACAAATTGACCATTCTGTCTTTAAAGAAATTACCAAGGATCAATATGTCCTTTTTACTAGAATAACATCCAATAAACATCAGTGCCATATGTATAGTTCTGTACTAATCTTTGGCCAATATTTACTCACTGAACCAATCACTGCTGAAAATAACACCTTTGTCTTAAAATTCAACAACAATGTAAATACACACATATTTCTCAAGAGATAATTTACCTGTTTTGAATAGGGCCTACGGGCTTCTCTTCGTTCTCTAGTTAATCTCCAAGGAGTTATAATTTCATAAGAGGAGAGATGTGAGGTCTGTTGAAAGCCTACAGAATAGAAAGTAATAAGTTAATTACATGAAACTAAAATATAATAGAACTCAAACGCTGAATATTCAAATCAGAAAACCCATTTGACATTACACACACACACACACACACACACACACGGTATTTTAAAGGCCCGGTGCACAAACTTGTGCACAGGTGGGGTCTCTTGGCCTGACCAGCAACTGAGGCCTATCAAGGGACCAGCTGGCCTGGGGGAGGGGCCACAGGAGGTTGGCTGTGATAGTGCACTAACCGGCAGCTCCTGCATGGAGCACCTACCCCCTGGTGATCAGTGTGCATCATAGTGACTGGTCATCTGGTCATTCTGGTGGTTCAGTCATAAGAGTCGCTTAGGCTTTCATATATATAATTAGTTGTACATGAAAATAGCAATATATTAGATACTAGAGGCCCAGTGCACAAATTCAAGCACCAGTTGGGTCCCTCGGCCTAGCCTGCAGGATCAGGCTGAAAATGGCTCTCCAACATGCTCCAAGGGGTGCCGGGCTGTATGGGGTGACCAGGTTGGCAGGCGGGTTAGTGAAGGACAACCAAACAACTGAACAGCAGGCTGTGTGAGGTGACCAGGCCAGCGGGGAGCGGAGGCGGGGGGAGGAGGGGGGATAGTGAGGGGCGACCAGGCCAGCGGGGAGGGAGGAGTTGGGGGTGACTAGGGCAGCAGGGGGACAGTTAGGGGTAACCATGCCAGTGGGGGTAGGGGGGGAATAGGGGACAGTGAAGGGTGACCAGGCCAGCAGGGTGGGGGGGAGTGGGGGTGACCAGGCCAGTGGGGGGGAAGGGACAGTGAGGGGCAAGCAGGCCAATAAGGAGGTGAGGGATGATCAAACAACAAGCAGGCTGTGTAGAGCAATCAGGTCAGCAGTGGGGGCAGTTGGCAGCAACCAGGCTGGCAGAGGAGAGCAGTGAGGGGCAACCAGGCCATCAGAGGAGGACAGTGAGGGGCAACCAGGCCAGCGGGGGCAAGGGGCAATGAGGGATAACAGGCCAGCAGGGAGGGCCTTGAGGAGCGACTAGGCCAGCAGGGGAGAAATTGGAGGTGACCAGGTCAGCAGAGGGGGGGGAGGCAGTTAGGGGTAGCCATGCAGGCAGGGCGGGCACTAAGGGGTGATCAGGCCAGAAGGCAGATGAGCAGTTAGTAGCCAGTGGTCCCAGATTGTGAGAGGGATGTCCACCTCCCAGTTTAAGATACAGTATAAATAGGAAAACATAATCGGACATCCCCCGAGGGATCACAGGTTGGAGAGGGTTCATGCTGGGGTGAGACTTCCCCTGCCATGCACAAATTTTGTGCTCCAGGCCTCTAGTCCTATATAATAAAAGCCTAATATGCTAAGTGTTTGACCTTCTGTCCGACCATTCAACCAGTTACTATGACATACACTGGTCTGGGGAAGTCGCTCCGACTGGTAGATTAGCTTGAGGTCTGGCCAATCAGGACTGGGTGAGACAAACTGGACATGCCCTGAGTCCTCCTACAGTACTTCCATGACCGGTCAACCTTTCACAGTCCCTCCCTGGACAGCTGGCCTAAATTGGCCCCAATTGGGACTAGGCGAGACAGTGCCAATTGGCCCCAATAAGGACTGAGAAAAATGGGCCAGACACACCCTGGAGCCCTCACATGGTCCCTCCCTGGCCCTGATCATGCACTGGTGGGGACCCCTGGCCTGACTTGCGCCCTCTCACAATCCAGGACCCCCTGGGGGATGTCTGAAAGCTGTTTTCAGCCTGATCCCCACAGGCCAGGCCGTGGGACCACACCAGCGCACGAATCTTTATAATGCTAGAGGCCTGATGCACAGATTCATGCACATTGAAAGGAAATCAATCAAAAGGTGGCTGGTGGGGTAGAATTGGGTGAGACAGGCCGGATACGCCCTGGAACCAACCTCCAACATTCCCTCCCCAGCCAGCTGCACCTGGAGTGGAGCCAGAGTTCAAAAGAGCATCTGGGGAGAAAGTGGGGTCCCTCCGGCAGGTGGGGTTTCTTGGCCTGGCTTGCGGAGATCGGGCCAAAACAGGCAGTTTGACAGCCCCCAGTGAGGTCCCAGAGTGTAAGAAGACACTCTACAAAGTTGCTGTCGCTGGGCAACTCCTGTGTTAAGGGCCTGCCCCCTGGTGGTCAGTGCGCATCATATCTACTGGCTGGTCTGCCAGTCACTTAGCCTTTTATATATATATATATATAGACTAGAGGCTAGGGCATGAAAATTCATGCACTGGGGGGGTTGGGGGGAAGGGGTACCCTCAGCCCAGCCTGCTCCCTCTCACAGACAGGAGCTCTCAGGGGCAGGAGGAGACCCAGTGATCAGGGCAAGGTGACACCCCCATCACACCTCTGCTGCTGCCACTGCTGGCAGCACAAGCCTCGGCCGGCTCTGGTTACCCAAGCCTCGGGCAGCCCTGGATGGCTGGGCAGCTGCCATCTGAGGCTTGCCTGTGTCTCGGGCTCACCCTGGGTGGCTGGGCAGCTGCCATCCAAGACTTGCCTGCATCTTGGGCATTGGCTGGGCGGCTGACATCTGAGGCTTACCTGCACCTCAGATGTCAGCCCTGGGAGGCTGGGGGCCTAGAGCAAGTCTGGCCACACTGTGCGCATGCTGCCCGCCCCACCCCAGCAGCGGGGCTGAAGGACTGGGCACCATCTTTGTCATGGTGTGATGGCCAATTTGCATATTCTTTCCTTATTAGATAGGATAGTATATTATCCTAATTAAATATGGCTGCAAGTCATTACATAAAAACACCAGAAATAGACTAAAATAAAATGCTCAAAAAACAACCACGGGCTAAACCAAGGCATATTGATGCCTTTTAATAATCAGATTATGATAAAATATTCAGATGTTTTGAGTTTTCAATTAGGAACCATGTCAAAAGAAATTTATGGCCTTAAAAGATGCACTAGATAGAAATATCCTTAATCCTAAATTAACTGAGGTACAGGACTGTTTCTTCACCTAGAATAGATCTTTCAATGACCTTCAGTTTTTCAAATTCCTAAAATCACAAATTTTAATATCCTTAATAATTTCATTCGGGATCATGGTAATCTATCCAACTACAAAGACAGTCACTCAAGAAGTGAGTGGTGGCATGAATAAAATGTTTCCTGTGGGTTAGAAGCTTTGTGTGATAAAAAGTAAATCATCCTGTACATTTGCAACCTCGTGATTCCATAATTATTTTGGGCCACAGCTGAAACTAGCCCTTCTATACAGATTGCTAGCAAAGAATAAAAGACGGGAGGGAGGAGGAACACAATTAATCATTTCTTTTAAAAGGCTTTCAAAGTATAGCACCCAAGGCTTGCTATCCAAAAGACCTCAGAGGAGCATCTAGGAGATCGCAGTAGAGGTCACAGTGCAGGGGAGCTGTTAGTACGTTGGAAGACCCCGGTTGGCATCCCTGGGAGGAAGAGCATGAGGAGAGAGTTGAAGGCCCTGTCGGGGTGTTGGAGGATCAGGCTGTGGTAACCTATCACTATGGGAGACAAGAAAGAAGAGAGCTAGCCCAGCCAATGTGGCTCAGTGGTTGAACATCGACCTATGAACCAGGAGGTCACAGTTCAATTCCGGTCAGGGTACATGCCTCGGTGTGGGCCGATCCCCCGTGGGGAGGAGGGGTGTGTGCATGAAGCAGTGGATCAATGATTCTCTCCAATCATTGATAATTCTATCTTTCCCTCTCCCTTCCTCTCTATAATCAATAAAAATAAAGTAACATTTGAAAAAATATATGGTACCCAAAAATAACTTCTGTATGTAATAGCTATTACTATGATATCAACTTCTTGGTTTTAAAATCCAAGGATCCATTTTATGAGTGCCAAAAAGAGTTCCAAAATGTAAAAAATATACATGCTTGGGTTATAGAATTCAAAAGTAATATACAGTAATTGTATGAAAATCCTCCTTCCTATATTTTTTTCCAAATTCCTTTCTTATTTCTAGGTCTGGGTGTAGGTGTGTTGCTTTTTGTTTTGTTTTGTTTTGTTTTTCTTTCCTTTTTTTTCCTGTTCATATCTTGCACGTATTTTTCAATTCTCTTTTTATTTTTTAAACTCCAAATAGTAGCACCGTCTCATGGGAACAAAAAATAACATGTTTCACATGTTACTATAAAGGAAGTGCATTAACATTATTTATATAATTTATATTAACCTCAACACTATTAACATTTTGGGCCAGGAACTTCTTTGAGGGGAGCGGGGCCTGTCCTGTGCAATGTAGTATGTTAAGTAGCATCCCTGGCCCTTGCCCACTAAAACCAGAAGCACCACCAGAGTGACAACTAAAGACATCTCCCAGAGGCCTTCTGGGAGATACAGTTCACAATGAAATAAAAATATCCATACAGTCAACTCCACGGAGAATATAAACTGTTGTTTTAGAATCTGACAAAATAAACATAGTGTCTAAAATTACACCACTAGAAAACATGGACTGAAGATAAAAATAAGAAGCTGAAACATGAATAGTAAAGTGTCTCAAATTTAGCAAAAGAAAGGGAAAAGTGTTAATTTCACTCCTTTCTTCCTCTAACTCAGAGATTTTCAACCTTTGTCATCTCATGGCACACATAAACTACTAAAATTCTGAAAAACAAAAAAATATTTTTTTTGGCCAATCTGACAAAAAAAAAAAAAAAAGAGGTATAATTTTTTATTCATTCACACCAGACAACTATTATATTGGCTGTTGCCATTTTTTTAAATTTGAGAATCTAAGGGAAAAGAGGTCAGTGCATTTTTTTTTAAAAGTCTTGCAGTAAACCGGTGTGCCGCGGCACACCGATTAAAAAATCATTGCTCTATCTCTGTAGATTGTTTTTTTATATACTGTGCTTTGGAGGATGTCCAAGTATGTATTCCATAAAAGTAGCTGTAGTAGAGGGAGATAAGTTAAAAGAATTCCACCTAATTACAAAGGAAATTAATGTGAAGTTTCAGTCATGGGCTTTTATCCTTTCCTTCC